GCCTGCCTGGCAAGCGCAAGGTCATGAGTTCGGTTCCCGGTACCGGAGAAAAAAAAAAAAAAAGAAAAGAAGGTCAATGCATACTGATCAAGGGAACCATTCATCAAGATATAATAATAAATTTATACATACTAAATGTCAGAGAACCCAATTTTAAAAATCAAACACTGCAGGACATGAAGGGGGAGAGAAATCCCAATACTGGAGGACTTCAATATGTCATTCTCATCAATGAACATACTACCAAGACCAAAAAAAATTAATAAAGAATCAGAGTTAAGTTACACTTACAGACTTCACTTACAGACTACTCCACCCCAACAGGTGTGGAATACATATTAATTTCATCAGCATATAAAACTTTCTCTAGATTAGACCATGTATTAGGCCACAAATCAAATCTTAACAAATTTTTAACAATGAAATAATATCCTGCATCTTCTCTGGATAGAATAAAACAATGGAATAAAACTAGAAATCAACAACAAGAAAAACTACAGAAATTATAAAAACACATGGAAATTGAACAACACACTTTTGAATAAACAGTGGGTCATTAAAGAAGTCAAAGGGGAAATTTAAAAATTCCTCAAATCAAACAAAAATGGAAGTACAGTATACCAAAAGCTGTGGGATACAGCAAAAGCAGTTCTAAGACAGAAGTTTATAATAATGGGTATATACATTAAAAAAAAAATAGGAAGATCTCAAATAAACTTTTTTTTTTTGAGACAGGGTCTTGCTATGTAGTTTAGGCTGTCCTTAAACTCACTATGTTGGGACTACAGGAGTGCATCACCATGTCCAGCATAACGATGTATCTTAAAGTCAGAAAAAGCAAGAACAAACCAAAGCCAAAAGAAATAGAAAGAAATAAAGATAACTGAAATAGACTAAAACAACAATACAAAGGATAAAGGAAACAAAGAATTGGTTCTTTGAAAAGTTAAACATAATTTGCACGCCGTTAGTAGCTAAACTAAGAGAAAAAGAAAGATAAACATAAATAAGACAGAAAGAGAATCCAAATAAAATTAGAGAGTAAAAAGGAGACATTACAACTGATAATACAGAATTCAAAGGGTCATTAGGGAATATTTTGAAAGAATACGTACTAATGAATTTGGAAAAGTTCCAAGTGTACAAATATCCAAACACATATTACCTACTAAAACTGAACCAAAAATCTAAAATATATCAAAAAATATTTTAAAAATCTAAATAGACCAATGATGAATAATGAGATTGAATAAGTAATAAAAAGTGTAGCAACAAAGGAAAGCCCAGGATATGATAGCTTCATTGCTGAATTTACCAAAGGTTAAAGAAGAACTAACATTAATGCTTCTCAGATGGTTCCAGAAAACCCTTCCAAACTCTATGAAGCCAGCACTGCCTTGTTATCAAAACCTGACAAGCACACAACCGAAAAGAAAACTATAGACCGGTGGTGGCAAAGCTATGACTTGCGTGCTGCAGCAGGCTGTTTGTATCACTGAAAGCTCTGAAAGCTCTGCCATCGCTGCTATAGATCAATATCCTTGATGAACAGACCAAAAATATTCCACAAAATACTCACAAATCACATTCGGCAGCATATTAAAAAGATCATACACCTTGGTCAAGACCAAATATCTCTACAGTATTTGCAGATATGATTCTATACATAAAAAAACCTAAAGACTCCACCAAAAGACTTATGAACTCAGTAAATAGCAGGAAACAAAATCAACATATATAAACCACTAGCTTTTCTATACCTGAACGATGAACTTGCTGGGAAAGAAATTAGGAAAGCATGATCCCACTTACAATAGCCACTAAAAAAATAAAACACCTAGTAACAAACCTGAGGATGTGAAAGACCTCCACAGTAACAACTATGAAACACTGAAGAAATTCAACAAGACACTCAAATGTGGAAGGACTTCCTATGTTTATGAATTGGGAGAATCAATATTGTTAAAATATCCATACTGCTCCAAGCAATCTACAGACTCAATATAATCCCCATCAAAGTACAACTAACATCTTTAACAGAACTAGAAAAAATAATCTGAAACTTTATATTGAAGCACAAAAGATCCCAAACAGCCAAAGAAATTTTGAGCAAAAAGAATAAAGCTGATTTCCTGGTATACTACAGTCATAGTAAAAAAAAAAAAAAAAAAAAGAACAGAATAACACAATATTGCCATAAAAACAAACATGTAGACCAATGGAATAGAAGACCCAAAAAATAAATTTTACACATCTTCAGTCAATTGATTCTTGACAAAGACACTAAAAATATACACTGGGGAAAGAACAGGCTTTTCAGCAAACGGTAACAGGAAAATTGGATATCCACACGAGTTCACTGAAACCCAACTCATAACCTGTACAAAAATCTACTCGAGGTTAGCATAGTGCTGCATGCCCATAATTTCAACACTTTGGAACTTTGGAAGGTTGATGCAGGAGGATCACAAGTTCAAGCCCAGCCTGGACGATTTGGCACTTTAGGGAGACCCTGTCTCAAAATAAAAAGTAGAAAAAGGGCTGGGGATACAGCTCAGTACAAAGGTTCAGTCTTCAGTTAAAAAAAAAAAAAAAAAATCAACTCAAGTGCTGGGGATGGTGGTACATGTCTTTAATCTCAGATATCTGTTAGGCTAAAGCAAGGGGATCACAAATTCTAGACCAGCCTGGGAAATATAGCAAAATCCTGTCTCAAGCCAGGCATGTGGCCCATGCCTGTAATCCTAGTACTCAGGAGGCTGAGAAAGGAAGATTGTTGCAAGTTTAAGGCCATCCTGGGCTATACAATGAATTCAAGGCCAATTTGAACTTCAAAAGTGAGACCCTGTTTCAAAAAAAAACAAAACAAAATAACAAAAAAATCAAAACAAAACTGAAGACCCCATCTCCAGATTAAAAAAATAAAATGGGCTGAAAATGTAGCTCAGTGGTAGAGCATTTGTGGGTTTGGTCCCCAGTACCATGGGGGCCAGAGATATAGCTCAGTGGTACAGTGCCTGCCTGGCAAGGGCAAGGTCCTGAGTTTGATTCCTGGTACCTCCCCCCGCCAAAAAAGTAAATTAAAAAAGAGCTACATTAACCCCAATACCAAAAACAAAACAGAAAAACCCTCAAAGATCTTAGTGTAAGTCCCCAAACTCCAAAACCACTAAAGCACAATACAGGGAAAAAAAAAAAAATGATACTTACACAGGCAACAATTACCTGGATAGAATCAAAAAACACAGGAATGAAAAGCAAGAATTAATAAATGGAAGCCACGTGTGGTGACACACGCCTGTAATCCCAGCACTTGGGAGGCTGAGGCAGGATTGCCATGAGTTCAAGGGCAGCCTGAGCTACATAGTGAGACCCTGTCTCAAAACAAAAAAAAAATCAATAAAGGAGATTATATCAAATTAAAAATCTGTACAGCAAATGAAACAACCTACAGAATGGGAGAAACCTTTGCCACCTATTCATCTGACAGAAATTTAATATCTACAACATATAAAGAACTCAGAAAACTTAACAAAAAACCAAGTAATCCAATTTAAAAATGGGCAAATGACCTCAACAAACACTTCTCAATAGAAACACAAATGGCATATATATATGAAAAATATTCAGTATCTTTATCCATCAGAGAAATACAATCAAAACTACAATCGCATCACAGTTAGGATAGCTGCTATTAAAAAAAAAAAAAAAAAAAGAAAAGAAAAGAAACTAGGCCTAGTGACACATGCCTATAATCCCAGCACTCTGGGAGGCTAAGGAGGATCAATATTGGTAACTTAGCAAGACCCTATCTCAAAATAAGAAATGAAAAAGGGCTGAGGAGTTAGCCCCATAGGAAGGCATACTGAAGCCGGGGTCTTATGGCAAGGATGTGGAGAAAAGGAATCTCTATACAGGATCCTTATACAGCAAATTACTGTAGCCATTAGGGAGCACAGCATGGAGGTTCCTCAAAAAACTAAATATAGAACTACTACAAAGCCCAACTATCCCACTGGTGAGATCCACTCCAAAGAAAATCGAGATAGCTTACAAAAGAGATACCCATATACCCGGGTTTCGTGGCACTATTCACAATAACCAAGCCATGGAATCCGCCTAGGTGGCTGTCAACAGATGAATGGATAAAGGACAAAATATACACATATGTACATCCATGCACACGCACACACATACACACAATCCCAGAGTATATTCAGCCATACAGAATGAAATATTGTATTTACAGGAAAATGGATGAAACCGGAGGACACTGTTCTGAGTGAAACAAATCAACCCAGAAACACAAGCATCATATGTTCTCTCTCATGTGTGCAAACATTAAAAAAAAAAAAAACAAAAAAAAACCAGACCTGAGAGTAGAAGAGATGCAGTTAGGGACTGGCAGGGGAGTGCAGGGAGGGTGGGGAAGGGGAGGGGAGGGTAGAAGAAGGGTAGACGGATATCGCCAGCACACAACAACTCCGTGCATGGGAGCAGCACAATGAATCTCACACAATTAATATGTGTCAATAATTCAAATGAAAATTTAAAAAGAAATAGTCATATAAAAAGCACTGCGAAAGAGGTAGTAAGACTTGGGGAAATGGGACAGAAGAAATATTAAAATGATGGAACATATAATAGATCATGAGAAATTAAGCATATATATAATTTAATTACATTTTTTCTTTTTAAATCTCAAGTCACCAAAAAAAGCCAACATGAAACATTATGGTTTCAAGGTGACATTTCCATGTGAGACAATTCAAGTTCACGTGGATGTTTCCCTTCTGCAGAAACTTCCCTTTTGAACAAAAAGGATCTGTGCTCTATGCACTGCACTTGTGAGGACTGTGCTCTGCTTGAGATGGCGCGGTAAATGAAATGAAAGAGGCACAGGCTACAGCGGCTTCCTTGCGACAGCCCACCCTGCTGCCCCCTGGGCGTTCCTGTATCTTGCTTTCCCCCCTTTTACCGGCCCACGCTCACTCTGCAAAGCAGTCTCTCCCTTACTCTTCACTTTTCCTCTTTCAAATAAACTTTGCTACTGTTAAAAAAACAACAAAGACACAATGAATAACTTTGTTATCCCTCTATCTTGATGAAGGAAATTAGAACATGAAAATAATGGCTTAACGGCTCAGTCCTTATTTTTCCAAAAGAACTTTTTCTTTTGCAGTGCTGGGGATGGAACCCAGGGCCTTGCACGCGCTAGACAAGCGTTCTACCACTGAGCTGCATCACTAGCCCTGATGCAACAATTAGAGAAGATAGTTTTTTACTCAGAAAAATTAGCTACCTATAAATGACAATTAAATTTAACACCATGCATTTTAGGAAACACTACTTTTGAATCAGCTGTGAATTTCTGCTTTCCATTTCTTCCATTGCTTCCACCACTGCCAGGGCTTGCTGGCTGGTCAGCTCCTCTGACATCAGTAACAGAGTTGACTTTAGTCTGGAAGCAAAAAAAAAAAAATTTATGTTGACAAAGAAACTCAGTTCCCTGCTAACAAGTAGAGAAGACATGGACAAAAACTGAATTCAACATGTAATTCCAATTTTCTCCCCACATACTTGGGGATAGCATATTATTAATTTAAAAAATATATATTTTCTTCAAAGCAATTGAGGCCACATATAGGCCAATCCCTATTTCTTTAAAAAACACAAATAAAAGGTCTTCAGTGGTTTTTCAAATAAGAAAGTTATAATGGTTATAAAACATGATTCAGTTAAATTATACAGTACTAAGCAGCAAAGGAGCTAATAACATCCCAATGTTTTAAAATTGGGTAAGATCTAACCAGAAAGTCAATTTACCTTCATATTAACAAAAGCTTAAATACTAGACATTTGCTATAATGCTATGAACTGAAAATTAACCAAGATGATCCATTTTGAAACTGCAACTAAAGTGCTACAATAATGAAAGGATCAAGATTGTCTTTTGAGCCAGGGATAGAGCTCAGTGGCACAGCGCCTGCCTGACAAGCGCAAGGTCATGAGTTCAATTCCCGGTACGGCATAAAAATAAAATAAAAAATATAAATTCCTTGAACACAGAAACTCAGTTAAATTTGATTTCTGTACACTTTAGCATGTATGAAATAAATAGTGCTTGGTGACAAAAATGTTTCCAATAAGGTTTTAAAATAATCACACTGTAGCCAGGGGTAGTGGCACACCTATAATCCCAGCACTTGGGCGGCTAACACAGGAAGATCATTGAGAGTTCAAGGTCATTTTAAATAAGAGTGAGACTTGGCCTCAAAAATACAAAAATAAACGAACTAAAAAAAGAATAATATTGTTTCCATCTAGATACAATCTCTTAAAATGTACTCTTAATGAGGCCAGGTATGGTGGCACATGCCTGTAATCCCAGCACTCGGGAGGCTGAGGCAGGAAGATCGTTACGAGATCTTGACCAGCCTGGGCTACAAAGTGAGCTCATGGCTAGCCTGAATTGCATAGCGAGACCCTGTCTCAAAAAGACAAAAAAAAAAAAAAAAA